GTTAGTTAGCCTCAATGGATCATGGCAAATCTTCACGCATGCCCAATGCCAAGCAAAAGTTACCGAAACATATTTTACCCTTGAAGAGGTACCTTGGGGATTTTACTCTACCTTGACAGGTATTTACTCAAGTACGAAGTTAAGTATATAAAAAACAGAATTATTGAATCTACAAGGGAACAGTTAGCTGTGACGAAGACACGAGTAGCGCAGTAATCCTTTTCTGGTCTCACGGTTGCCAGAAGTGAGCGCAAATGTCTTTTCAAATTTCAGAATGATTAGATTTGCTCAAAAACAGCAATCTTCAACATTTTCCGGACTACCGGTTACCGAGATTTTATCAGTGATATGATTAACGTCGCCATTAATGTGGATCCTGCTCTGTTGTTGAGATCTGGTGGCTGCATTCCTAACCTTTCAGTAACTTTCTTTTTGAGGTGACTTTTTTTATGGTGCATCACCAGTGACCTGTGGGTTGCCGTCCAGCTTGGCCCATACTAGGGAGGCTCGTTATTGTACTGGAACTATCTTGTAAGCAAAATTTGTTAACAGTGAGTTTGTGCGATTACATTTATGAGTTTTCTTTACCTTTATTTATTAAAGTTCTTTGCATGCTCATGAATTTAATTTATACACACATGGTCATGTTTTAAAGTACACAGATTTAGAAACGAAGGTGTGTTGATGGCTTCCAGTGATCGTTGTATTTTCTACATGGAATCACCGGAAGTTGGCTATAAATCTTATCCATTGCCTGTGGAAGGTAAGTTGAATGAATTAATTTTTCATTTAATTTTTTACTTATGTTTACACCTTGAGCAGATTTTTGACAGTTTGCAGCTGACAGACGCGCGTATCACACTGCGCAGCTGTATGTCTCACACGCTTTGGCTTGACCACACCGGAGCACTATGTTGTCGCTATTTTTCGCAGGTCAGCGACCTGTTACCCGCTTTTTGGCTGTTTGTACCGAAGCACAGTAGAATGAGTTTTTATTAAAGGAAATCAGCTGTTGATATAAGAAAATTGATGCCGTTTGAACTCGTCATCACTTAAATGCAAGACAAACCGTTAATACATAGTCTCGCTGCTCCCCCTTCCCATCTCCAATGTAATGCAGTCGGTTGATAATCTGTTCTTTCCTTTGGATGGAAATACAGCTCTCCTGTTGTGACTGAATCATATCAGTCAGTCATGTTCTTTTTAGACTAACTCATGGGTTTCACATATGAAATGTTCCTACTATATTTCACTCATTGTCATTGGAATCAGTCGACCTTCATTGCTTTATGTTGAAGCATTATTCATTGGTAGTACGAAATTTCAATCTCTTGCAAAGTATAGAAATCGATAAATAGCTTCTGGTGTGAGATCGCCTTACATTGCATAACATTTTCTCCGTACATCATAAATCTGGGCACTCCCTCCTTGACCCTGTTTCCCGAAATGACGATGGCGACAAAATTCCCGACACCACCTTTGGGTCTCGAAAGGTTCTGTGGATGAATGATACAGCTGATGAATTGTTCCATTTCGTCTGAGCATATATTGCGTTGGAAGAAAATCAGATTAACCACAACGTTGCGCTGTGTATAAAAGCCACCTGTATAAAAATTTTACTTAAACTTAAACCATGTTTTGAAATTCTTACTCGTTCAGAACCAATAGCTGAAGTTAGTCCGGGCAGAAGGATTTCTGATGCTTGGTTAAAGGCATGAAGATGATAATGAACGAGTTTGCGTTTGGCCAAAATTTCAGACTACTCCAAAGTGTGCATCATCGAGGCACGAAAATGTACAATTGAATAAACCATTCTGTACTGCTTTTCTTCATCTGGGCATCCATTGTTCTGCAGAGGTTTGCCTGTAATCGATTGACTTGATGCTGTAGAAGTCGCCTAGCAATTCAAGGGGTGTAACGTGTCTAACAACTTGTTTTGACTAGATTGCGCTGACTACGTCTAGATCATAAGTCACTGTGAAGCAGTGGAATGGGTTCACGTATACGAGGATGGTTCTGATTTAGTAAAATTGTATGGTGCCTCTCAGAAGTGTCGTTTTAAAGTGAATTTTTGCAACAAATACGCTGGACAGCAGAAATTTGGATAAGCTTAGCCATAGATATTTACATACAATATTTACTTTGCAAGTACAGAAGTTTAAGTAAACTTATGCTAGGAAATATAGAAATAGTTTGGTGATTCATGGTTTAAGATGGCTACTTTGCCATAAAAAAACAGTCTAAGGGAACGATGTTACCAAAATTTGACATATCTTCGTGGTTTTAATTCCACTACAGTTCAGCTTTGGAAAATTTCGCACTTCCAGTCGTTTTCGTCATAAGTTGTAATAATCGTGCAACAGAGTACCACCTGTCCATTGATGTTGGGTGCTACAGTCGTGGCTGTATAAGTCTCAGCGAGATTTTGATTGAGAAATATATGCTACAGAAAACGAGTAGTTTTCAAGGTTGTAATTTCAGGATAGTACTGAGCTTCGGTTGAAGATACTTTGAAGGTTTAAACGTAATAGATCAAATACCCGTGTCAAATTTGTTAGCTTTGTTAAGAACATAAGGAAATTGTTTGGTGGAAACCTCTGCAGACATGAGTTGAACGAGTTTGTCAAATTATACGTTGATCATTTTATTATCAAGAGATCTTGGCCATTCTTAAGAAAACCATCATCTGCTAAAAGTAGAAGTTGAACTTTTGATCGTTTAAAAAGCTATTGCCTGCAGTTCGACCGGGCAAGGATGCCTCTGAAATCATCAGTAGCCCTCTACTGTTTCGCCGTAATAAAGAGGCAAGTGCCTCTGGCCAGGGTTTGAGTCTGAAGCTGTACCGAGTGATCGATCCCGGTCTGAAGCGACGTGTGATATATTTCTTGCTGGAGGCAGTTGGCGCTGAAGACATTTCATCCTTTGTAGCAATCGAACCCGGCGCTTCTAGAGTTCGAAGCCGAATCTTCAGGTTCTTCTTCTAAAGTTCGAGTATGAATCTCTTACGCACTGCCACTACACTGCGGTGTTCAAATACTATATAGCCATAGGTTGCATAAGTGACCCCAACCTCCACCTCCCAGGCTACTAGGAGCATCCAGATAGTGTAGTACGTGATGAAATTTGGTATTTAAGAAGCTATATACCTAAACTGCTATGCT